ACACAACGGACCAATCAGAGGTCAGAACACAACGGACCAATCAGAGGTCAGAACACAACGGACCAATCAGAGGTCAGAACATATCTGATGGAACCTGTAAAAGGTTTCCATCTTCCACCACTTAGTATTTGGGCCACAGAAGCAACAGGTCCAGGAGAGAAACCCAGACCTCCCTCCAGTTCAGAGAAGATACACAATCCCTCCAGAGAGTTCAGGGTCTGCCCCAGGAACTCTTTCCAGTAGGACGTTCTCTGAAAACCTCCAAAGGGAGGCATCCAGGAGGCCTCCTGATCATATGAACCTCCTCAGCTGACTCCTTTCAATGCAGAGGAGCAGCAGCTCTTCTCTGAGCTCTCCGTCAGATGACGGTGCTCCTCACTCCATAAGGCTGAGCTTATGGATGAAGCTCATTTCAGCTGCCTTGATCCTGGATCTGGTTCTGTTGGTTCTGATCCAACCTCATGACCACAGGAGAGGGCTGGAACATGGACAGACCAGAGCTTTGCCTTTCAACACAACTCTTATTTTCACCACGACCAACCGAAGCAACGCCCTCATCACTGAGGACGAGGCCCTGATGTGTTGATCCATCTGCCGCTCCATCACTCAGGAACAAGACGTATTTGAACTCCTGCACTTGAGGAGGAGAGAACATTCCGCCTTTGTCTTGTTTAGAACTTTAACATGTGAAATCTGTTTTTATTTTTAGCTTTATTTATCCAGGAAGTCTCACTGAGGTAGGAGGACTCGTTTTCAACAGTGACCTGTTCAGATGGGGGTTAAGGGCCTTGCTCAAGGGTTGGGGCAAATGAGGGTGGAGGCAGGTGTGGGTGTTTCACCCTTTCCACCCACATTTTGATGTTCTCGGTTCGGGGAGTAGAACGCAGGCCCACCTTCTATAACCGCTGCACACCCTAACCCTTCACATCATAAAATAATCTTGGAGAAGCTGGAACCAGGATCAGATTAAACAGGAGGGTCCACAGCCAGTGGATGTAAACAAACAGATCTGGACTTGAGTCAGTCCGTGTGGTTCTGATGGAGGACTGTTTGGACCTCCGGTCCTGAGGCCGGGCGAAGGCAGCGGGTCTAACCGAGTTACCTGACGCTGTCCGCGGGGACTCGGGCTGTGGACGCTCGGTACCTCCTCTCCGTCCACCTCCAGGCTCTCGTCGTACGGCTGGTTCTTCAGCAGCTGGGGGCCCTTTCCCGGGTCAGCCCGCTCCATACGAGCCGGCAGGTTACCGGGAGGAGGACGTGGGTTCACACGGAAAGTCCCGGAAAAAGCAGCTTTAGAACCGAGAACTGGACCTCTGAAAACGGGTCAGGGAACTAAAACTGGTCTGTACTCTGACCCGATCTAAGAACTTTAACCCGAGCTAACGGGTCACAAGCTAAGCTAAGCTAAGAAGGACCAGCTGCTAACAACAAACGGTCTTTCCAAACGTCAGAAACCTGAAATAAACAACACTAAAGATAAAAAACACTCAGGAGTTGAACTACAAGCTGATAAGTGTTTAAAATACAAACAGGTTCCGTTCTGGGTTCGGTTCTAAACGGTGCGTAATTAAAGGAAGCAGCTGCCTGAATGCACCTCCGTATCCTAGCAACCGGTGACACGCAAGGCATCATGGGAATTCTTCATCTTCTTTATGTATGTATGTTTTATTTATTCATTTCATTTCATCCAAACAACAAATATAATACAATTTAAAGAAAAGAAAAAAGATATACAATCACAGAAATAAAATGAAAGGCAGCAGAAGAAGAATGAGTTCTTATAATATCTGCCCCTTGTCCCCAAAATATATTCCAAACAAAATTACTTTACAAAAGCAAGAGGAATTTATAAAAAAATAAAAAGATAAAAAATAATAAAAAAACTTAGCTAAAATATAAGATCAACTGTAAACAATTTTTATGAACTCACATTATACTTAATATTTTTTTAAAAAACAAATTTTTATCATCCTCTTGAATATGTACATAGTTTTGGCTTTTTTAATATCAACCTCCAGATCATTCCACAATCTAATACCCTGAGATCTAGTGGATCACATCTTCAGACTGGTGCGACACCACGGCTTCACAAACATCTCCATCCCCTTAAGATAATAATTACTTTCTCTTTTAACAAATGTCCCTTGAATGTTAGTAGGTAGTATGTTTTTGTTGGCCCCATACATAAACAGTAAGATATTGTAATCAACCAAGTCATAAAATTTTAATATCTTTAGCTGAAGAAACAATATATTTGACGGATGGTTATAATCTTTTCTGGTAATAACTTTATGTTTAATTTTATCTTTAAAAACTTTAAGTTTATGGGCGGGTGGAAGAAAATGTGCGTTCCTGCCTGCAGCTGGTTGGAAGAGCGGCTCAGAGCGTCACATCTGTAACCATGTTCGGTTAACTAAGTCTGTAACACATTAAATAATTATCTTATTCTAACTTTTCCCTCTTCAGATGTCTCCACAGCGAGTCCTCCTTCATCTCACTCTGTCCTCTGTCCTCACTCCAACTACCTCCATGTCCTCTCTAACTGCATCCATGTATCTCCTCTTTGTCTTTTTCCTGCAGCTGCATTTCGAACATCCTTCTACCAATATACCCACTGTCCATCCTCTGGACATGTCCAAACCACTGTCCCTCCTCTGGACATGTCCAAACCACTGTCCCTCCTCTGGACATGTCCAAACCACTGTCCTCCTCTGGACATGTTCAAACCACTGTCCTCCTCTGGACATGTCCAAACCAGTGTCCCTCCTCTGGACATGTCCAAACCACTGTCCTCTGGACATGTCCAAACCAGTGTCCCTCCTCTGGACATGTCCAAACCACTGTTCTCCTCTGGACATGTCCAAACCACTGTCCTCCTCTAGACATGTCCAAACCACTGTCCCTCCTCTGGACATGTCCAAACCACTGTCCTCCTCTGGACATGTCCAAACCAGTGTCCCTCCTCTGGACATGTTCAAACCACTGTCCTCTGGACATGTCCAAACCAGTGTCCCTCCTCTGGACATGTCCAAACCACTGTTCTCCTCTGGACATGTCCAAACCACTGTCCTCCTCTGGACATGTCCAAACCACTGTCCCTCCGGACATTCCAAACCACTGTCCCTTCTCTGGCCATGTCCAAACCACTGTCCTTCCTGTGGACATGTCCAAACCATCTCAGTGTGTCCTCTCTAACTTTATCTCCCAGTTGTTCAACATGTGCTGTACCTCTGATGATCTCATTCCTGATCTTCTCCATCCTTGTCTCTCCTAAGGAGAACCTCAACATTGTCTCAGAGTGTCTCACAGTGTCTCAGAGCATCTCACAGTGTCTCAGAGCGTCTTACAGTGTCTCAGAGCATCTCACAGTGT